ACTGTGGTTTACCGAATCGAATAAACCATTTAACTGCCCACTTTAGTGCTCAGAATACACTACAATTTCACAGGTTAAAAGCATACTGTTAGACAATTAACTTAACAATCAGTCGAGACGATTAAAAGCTGCTGAAGAATTCATATGATGCTTCATAGTCGGTCGGATTCACCAACAGGCAGTAATCTATGTAAAACTAAATTCGAACAAGTTTAACGTGCATTAAATCGCCTGTAACCAAAAACAATCATATTCACTTTTTCTGCTGCAAACTATTTTGAGATCAAAAAAAAAGAGATCATATTGACAGTGTTTAATAATAATAACTGAAAATCGATACTCCCTTGCAAACTGACAACAAAATTAGTTACAATTTGGTATCAACATCAAATTGTTAACTAAGAAACATCTGTGTCACTTTGTACGAGTTCTTCGCTTATTTTGTTGTCGCGACGGCAGCCCGTGCAGGCAGTCCTAAAATCTTCCTAACAAAACTTTCCTGGCTGTATCCAGTTGAGCATCAATATTCCTGAAACTTCATAATATTCGCGTAGACTTCAACTCTCGATTTTAGACCCCAGTAAAAGTTGACGTCTCAAAAACACCTCCTAGTTTTTAGCAGCAATTCCGATTATTTAGTTCATTTCTCAGAGATTTCGAAGTTGGTAACGAAATGGAACCAAATTCTTTGGCATATTATCGAGCGCAAGCCACATTTGAGCCCAAGCAGCTAAAAAAAGTGTTGGAAAGTGAGGAAACAATGGAATTCAAGGTTCATAATTCTCGTTCTCGATTAAATCTTTACTTGTCTCACAATTTCAGAATATTGCACTATAGCATTGCTGGAAAGAACACCGCAAATCGAAAAAAGGTATTCATTAAATTTATCCAAACTTACATCACTGCAGGAGCGTATTACTGAAATGTTGCGGAATGACCCCACATTTGCCAGAGATTGGAACTCGTTGAGCCCAACAGACTATAAGAAGATGAACCACAAAAGATGGAAAAAACTTGTTGAATATGAGCTTATCGAGAATAACTGTGTTCGTTAGTTTCAAATCCAAAGAAACTACTGTGTCTACGTCTACACTGTGTTTAACTGTAGTTTTGAAAGTCATACAAAGTCCTATTAGAAAAGAGTAATTCTCTTCTTCAGTTTATCAAAGCCATGAAGCAAGTCAAAGATCTTATGGAAATCCTAGACACCTATGACCAAGGTTTGTCCAACAGATTCTTCCAATCAGCAGGCGTGTTCTGCCTGGCCATCCTAACGATGGGTACAGAACGTCACCATGAACTCATGCGAAAATGTATCGAGAATGAAGTAATAAACATTTGTCTTATAACTCAACGTTGAAATTGGCTTGTGTCCTACCTGCTTGCGACCGGTACACTTCTTGACCAAAAAAAAAAAAAAAAAAACGATACTTGAAAAATGTAAAAAGTTTTCCAACTATAAGATTTTACCAGTTTCGTCAAAATCACCGTATATAATGACAGAATACTGCAGCTTTTTTACAGATTGTGGGTTGTTTCTGCCTTACAGAACTCGGTCATGGATCAAACACAAAAGATATTGAAACGAACTGCCGTTTTGAAAACGGACATTTTGTAATGCATACGCCGAACATAAACGCTATCAAATGCTGGGCAGGAAACTTAAGTTAGAGTTAACTGCATCAATAAAATCCATTCGCAGTGTTGTCAGAAATGCGACACAGTTGAAATGAACAAAAATGGACAAATCACCGCTGACGTGAAGAGCAACCATCTGATTCTGATCGCTTGTTGACCTCCAACTTCTTATTACTTAAGGTTATTCGGCAACACACGCCTTGGTATATGCACAACTATATATCGATGGAGACTGTAAAGGTTTGCACGCTTTTTGCTTGCAAATCCGTGACCTCGATACTATGGAACCACTTCCGGGCATCACCATTGGCGATATGGGAGAAAAAGCGGGTGAATGGAACGCAGTCGAAAATGGATGGATAAAATTCAATCGCCATGTATTTCCATTAACTGCCCTACTGAACAGAGCAGCCGACGTTTCTAAAGAGGGAGAGTTTATTCAAAATATCAAAGTAAACATTTTTTCATTGCAATAATTGTTGCAAATTTATTAACCACTTGTTACCCTGACAGAATCACTCAAAATCTTTTTTTCACAAGAACAGTCAAGAATTGCGCTTCAAAACTATGGGCACAATTTCGTTTGGTAGGATAACTCTAGTTGGCAAAGCGGCTCTCATGATGCAACTCTCCGCTGTTATCGCAATTCGCTACTCAGCTACACGAAAACATTTCGTTGCAACAGACAGAATAGGTATGCTTGTACATTTTAAGCTGAACTTAAAGATGCAGATTAGAATATGTGTTTGAATAAATGACAGCGGCCATAAATCCGTGCTAAACAGAAAACAGCAGAAAATTTTCAGAGCAGCAGTCAATTCTTGAATTCCCTATGCAACAACGTCGCACATTCCCTGTCCTGGCAACAGCAATTGCCTACAGACTATTTTACAACCACTTTTTCCAATATTATATTGAGTATGTTGACTCCGTAATAGACGGTACTGAAATTACTGATGAGGTAACGCTTCCCTAAAAAGCTATTTTTAATGTATAACGCAACTACTGCTAAGCTCATAAAACTTAAATAGGTTACATGTTATGGGTTACTTAAATGG